ATTATGATGACATAAAAGTGGAAAAATGATAATTTGAACATCAAAGATTTCAACTACATAAAAGTAACTGTCCTAGTCAATGGATATAAATGCTTTCTGCACTTTTCTCTAACTACTCTTATCCAAGTGTTGTAGAGACAATTTTTTATAACAGTAAAGGGGGAAAAAAAGAACAGATTATTTGACTCTTTTAGGCCAGCTCTCCTTAGAGAATTGCAGTGACTATTACTTAAGAGTTTTAGGTTTTTGCTATGCAGGTAATTAATTTATCCAGGGAGGATAGGTGTTGGGAAATGTCTTATTTCAAGAATATTAGTTATGCATGAGAATATTCATGTTATCATTTTTAGTACCAAATACTTTTTGGTCTTACAGGGTTGGCTATCCATACAGAGCATACTTTGTATGTCATAGGTCCGCACTGATAACTAACTTAGCAAAATCTTGTCCTTATTTTCAGAATATTTAGAATTTGACCTTTTTTAAGAGAGATTTTTATTATGAGGCATGGTGCTGGCAGGAGAGGAAGAGATAGATATAGATGATAGATAGATAGATAGATAGATAGATAGATAGATAGATAGATAGATAGATAAATAGATAAAAGACAAGAAATCACCCCCCAGGAGAATGGCCATGTTGCAATCCCTTCTCTGTTCTCCTCTCAAGATCATGAGCACACATGCACACATGCCCAGCAGGTTTTAAGCCACTAGGTCTGGGACTCAAACTGTGGTCAACTACATGGAAGTACAGCAATATAACCATTTCACCACCTGCTGGCCCCTGACTTCTTTTTTCTAAGTTTGTTCATTTGTTTGTTTTGTTTTGTTTTGTTTTTTTAAGAGAAAGAGATAGGCACTCCCAAATGGGTTCTTACCCTGTCAACAACTCCTAGATTCAGCCATCCTGGGTCCTTAGGATACATGTACATATCCAGTGCACACAAGGACCTTGCCATGTGGCCCCAGCTTATTACTGTGACATCACCCTGGCCCCTGGTATCTGACTTCTTCTCAAAACATCTGTTCTCACTGATTTGAACCTCATGAGCTCTTTTCCTGATTAAACTATGACTTTTCAATGGTCTTCAATCACACTCTTGCCTTTCTATGAATAATTCTCTGCTGGTGAGTTTATTCTATCAATTCCTGTGCTTAAAATTCAATAATCTTCTCACTTCATTCAGAGAAAAAGCTAAAGGTGTGGAAGACTCATCACCATCTGGACCCCACTTACTTTTCCTACTCACTCCTCTCTAGACCTCTTGGTCTCCTGGCTTTTCTTCAAGCCAGTCATGCTCCCCTTTAGAGTCGTGGCTTTGTCCCTCTGTATGAAACAATGTACATGACTAATCCCTTTAATTCCTTAAAGTTTTGACTCAAATGCCACATTCTCAATGAACATAAACTGATTATTTTCATTTAAAGTAATACCTTAGCACATACCCTTTCTCTTCTCCTTACCAAGCTGTACATTTTCCTAGAGTACTCACATTTAACATTACCAAATGAAATTATTTTTCACGTATATTGCTAATTTCATCTTCTTTTCTTAGAATATTCATTCATAAGAACAGAAAATAGTGTATGTTGTTCATAGACTCTTTTCTGAGTGGATCTAGGGCCCCCCCAAATACCTCTTGAATAGAGAAATAAAACAGTAAATTCAAAGGGGCTTTTAGTGATAACAATGAAGAAAGATTAAAAGTAGTTACTTTATATTAAAAAATATTTTGATGAAGTTGAAATAATATGATGAACAGTATTTGATATTCTGGAGATGTCATTGTCTGAGGAAACAAAATGAATGACATACATTTCCATCTTGAAAAAATTAACTGTAATGTCCTCTAACTAGATGTTACTCACAATCAACATTAAATCAACCATTTGCTTTCAGATCATAAAACAAAACTATTGATTTTTATTAGGAGTAGCCATCAGTAACATGCTGTATACAATGCATAAGAGCTTAGGTTTTTTTTTAAGTTATAAGAAGACTTTAAGAAGTTCATAGGAAAATGGGATTAAATTACAAGGTTGTTTTGATGTCCCCAAAAATTCATATTTATGCAGTTTTCATAGTATGCATTTATTATGGACTTTTTTTTCTGAGAGATTTTCACTGTAGGGCGCGTGCGCTCGCCAGACAGACAGAGAGAGACATAGAGACAGAAAGCGAGAAATCACCCCCCAGGGGGGATGGTCACACCGCAATCCCTTCTCCTCCATTCTCCTCTCAGGATCTTGGGCACGCACGCACACACGCCCGGTGTGAGTTTTAAGCCACCGGGTCCGGGACACAAACCGCGGTCGACTACGTGGGAGTCCAGTGACATAGCCATTACACTAACTGCTGGTTCCCTATTATGGACTTTTTGAAGACAACTCATATATTTCATTCAGTCAATAACTTATTAGAAAATTACTTATAGAGTCAAAGTTGTATGCATTTATTTACATATTCAAAATTAATTTTTCATATTAATGTGTTTAGGCAACAGCAATGTCCTAGGAATTGAAAGTTAAAATAAAAAATAGGTTCTTCTCCTGAAAAAAACAAGTATGAAAATATGCCATGTGATAGGGAAAAAAAAAAAGAGCTGTTTAGAATATTTAATAAGAAGGAATATTTCAACTTGGAGGCTCCAGACAAACTTTGTAGAAATGATAAATATATATGTCCTTAATGCCCAGAACATTGCCTAGTTAGAGCAGGCTTTTAATACATATTTTAGAATTGTATTGTGTTCACATTAATAAACTAACAGCAAGTCGTATTAAAGGATGAATTTATATGAAAAAGTTAAACTCACAAATTTCCATTCTTTTCTTTTGGTAATTTTTCTTACTTTTTAAAAAATTTATTATAATTATTTATTCCATGAACAAAAGAGAGACAGAGAGAGGGTACTCCCAACAGATTGTTTTTCTTTTTTTTTGAGAGGTTTTTGCAATAGGGCATGTGTGCTCGCCAGAAAGACAGAGAGATACAGAGAGATAGAAAGTGAGAAATCACCCTCCATGGGGGAATGGCTATGATGCAATCCCTTCTCCTCCATTGTCCTCTTGGGATCTTGGGCACGCACGCACACATGCCTGACATGAGTTTAAGCCACCGGGCCTGGGACTCGAGCCGCAGTCAACTACATGGGAGTCCAGCGAC